AATAATAAAAAAAATTAACGGTTTATTGAAAAAGTTCTGCAGCCCGAAGGCTGAAAATATACATTGGACATAAATGACTTATTACATACATTGGTGGTTTAACAAAAGACTTCGTTAGGAGGATGAAGGAACATACAGTGAACAAACAGATTAATGTTTACAGTGGAGGTCACGTAGATCTTGTGCGCCAAGGTGTTGAACAGCAGACACGTAGTGTAGTAACTCCCTCACAGATGGTGTTATGAGGGGCATCACCTGGTGTACTAGTTCCCTCACAGGTTGTGTTAAGAAGAGGACTAGTAATGAATGATTTGTCAAGGGCAATTTGGTGTCAACATGGCCGTCTTGACAGATATTGAGTCATATCAGTCCCATTCGTGACTCGCTGGGAGCCCAACTTCTCTACGGCGAAAGGGACCTTTGCTGAGGGATGGGTACACTGTCTCGGGGCAGGGTAGCAGCCTGGTTTGGAGTCTCTAGAGGGGCAGTTCAAGATGTCGATGCTTTTAAACTGCTAGAGAACATATATAGGCATAGGTGGAGACTTACTTGTTGGACGGGTAAGCAAGTAAAAGATTTTAGGAAATAGTGTTAGGGTATTATTAAACTAATTAGACGGAAGTTTTAAGCCCTAAGCGCGGTAAAGGGACTCAGAACACGACTAACTTTAAAATGTCTACTACATGACAGTAGAAGTATAGAAACAAAATGGATGATGTGGGGCCTTGGTATGTGCAGAAAAAATCAGTATGTATTCACTGGAAACATGGATGTTAATCTAGACTCACGTACGATTAACCGGTCGAATATGAAATTGCGGATTACAAATTGTTCCATACAGATGGGCAGTCAGGAAAGGGCGGGTATGCATCTATGTCAGGGGATAATCTGAAATTAATGAAATAATGAAATAAAAAACGGAGCGGAATAAAATAGTTTTGGATAATTTTATCGACGGTAGGAAAAATTAATCTGGGGATAATATATAGACCCCCCAATCTTGATAAGTCAATGAGCATTTATCTACCAGGATGAAATGGCCAGGGCTTCCATACATTTCAGGAGTCTGTATAGTAGGCGATTTTAATACCCAATGATAAATTGGATGACTGCCTAGATATCAGTATCCAAATGTTCCTGAAACGATCCAGGACTAACATAAGTCAACATATAACCGAAACCCACCCGGGGTAATAATATACTCTAGATTTAGTTCTGTCGACAAGAAAAAACCTCATTACTTAATGTCAGAGGTAAGGAACGAACTTTGCAACAGCGTCACCAATTAGATTCCAGCTAATTTTCAGGTCAGACGTAAAGGAACTATTAAAGTCCAGATTTCAGAAGAACAGACTTTGATTGTTTAAAAGAAAGGCAACTGAAGAGGAGTGCTTTGCGCTTGGGTGTGAACTTCCTGACGAATGCAACAGACCTGATAACAGGATCTGAGATTGCCAGGGTTCACGACAATTTAAATAATGAGTTACTAAATGCACAAAGGCAGAACATACCACTTAAAAACTTCCAGATCAGACAACAGCAGCCTAAATGGATGAATAATTATTTTAGGAACATTATTAGCCGAAGGCTATAGGTAGAAAAAGGATAAATCGTGAAATTTTTATCAGGAGTATTATAAGGTATTATTACATTGGGGTTAAGACTGAGATAAGAAAAGCCGAAGAGAATTAGAACTTTGAAGATAGCAGGGAGAAAAAAAGCCCCAAAGGATTCTACTAAATATCAAATAGAAAACCACGAGATAAGGTTGGGCCAATATATTTGAACGAAGCCTTTGTTAATAATGAATGAGCAACAATCTGAACAAGCATTTTCAACTTAGTTTTCTGCATCGAAAAATTTAATCATGATACCCAGGCACCATTATATTCAGAAATAGTAGAAAGAAATTAAGCGAGATAGTAGTGACTAGTAACGATATTAATAAGCAAATAAACAAACTGAAACCTAATAGATACACCAATCTAATAGAATGTTTGCCCAGAGTAACTAAGAGTGTGGAAAGAGCTTAGTATGCCCATATACAAAGTTGTTTAACATAAATAAATTTAAAAACAGGTGTGCAGAATCACTGGAGATGGCAGATATGTCTGGAGGTTTTTAGAGGATGAATAACAACCCGCTCATAACTACGTATCAGTCTAACATCAATAGTAGGTAGTACACAAGAATCACTTATTTTAGAAACTCTATTAGAAACACACTGGGCTTTCAAGTTGATCAATGATTCCCAACATGGCTACAAGCGGGCATTCATGTCTTAATCACAATGGCATTCCTTTTCATCAGTTTTCGAATCGGTGGACGAGAACTAATTATGATGTGGTATGTCGACTTTAGCAAAGAAGCCTTCGACAGAATCTCCAGGCCATTAAAGGTAAAGCCGCATAACATCAAAAGAATAATATCCTTAAATGGTTAGGCGTGGTTCACGGGACAGAGGAAACAGCGGTGAGCATAAAGCGACACTTCCGTCGCATTGGAACAAGCGTCACTAGTGCAGTTCCCCAAAGGCTTTCAAATAACGGACCGTTAGTATTTATTATATACATAAACTTGACATGAATATCGGCATAGACAGCAACATAAGTAAAATTTGCTGATGACAATTAAATAGGGCCGATGTAATTTAAATCTGACGAGGACTCTGCAAAACTACAGGTAGATCAACAAATTTTCGAATTGTGGGAAAATGGCAGATGGAAATTCAATGGCTGGACAAATGTAAAGTACTCAATATAGGAGATGTAAATAGAGAGCAGTTACCAGATGAACAACGATGCCATTGTGGAATCGGACTGCAGAGAAGATTTAGGAATGTGTGATAAAGCAAGATCTTAAGCGAAATGAAACAATGTGTTTTAGCGCCGTAGCAAGGCTAATAAAGTACTTGGGTTTATACAAAGTCATTGGTTATAGGAACTAGCGAATTCATCTTAAGAAGTATATCTAGCGCTTGTGAGACCTCACCTGGATTAAGCAGTTCAGTTCTTGTCTGATATTACAGAATGGATATAGAATCATGGAAAAGAATCAGAATAAGCAAGACTAATCCCGGGGCATTTGGAGACCTTGAATGAAGACAGGTTCAAGCATCTTAATTTGCCTCTCTCGAGGCGTGGGGTGAGCGACATGATGGGGTGTATAAATGGAAGTCAGGGGATTTAAAAGCAAAGAGGGACAGCTACAAAGGTACTCAAACTATCAACCAGGAACGAGCTTCCTTCAACAATGGTTTAAATTGGGCAAATTTAGATTTCGACACGACAGAAATAGATAAACACTGGTTTTGGAAACAGAGGTAGTGGATGAATGGAACAAGTTACAATATCATCAGTAGCAGATACTCTGGATAGCTACAAGAAACATAGGTTGGATAACGCAGGCAATAGGGGTTCAGGTATCATGGGACTGCCCAGTATTGGTCAATAGGACCCTTCTGATTTCTCCAATATATTTTATGTTTTTTTTATGAGGGGCATCACGTGGTGTAGTAGTTCCCTCACAGGTTGTGTTATGAAGGACTTGACGTGGAGTAGTAATTCCCTCACAGATGGTGTTATGAGGGGCCTGATGTGGTGTAGTGATTCCTTCACAGATGGTGTTGTGAGGGACCTGATGTGGTGTAGTAACTCCCCCAAAGATGGTGTTATAAGGGCCATCACAGGGTGTAGTAATTCCCTCACAGATGGTGTTATGAGGGGCCTCACATGGTGTAGTAATTCCCTCACAGATGGTGTCATGAGGGGCCTTATGTGGTGTAGTGATTCCCTCACAAGTGGTGTTATGAGGAACCTCACATGATGTAGTAATTCCCTCACAGATGGTGTTATGAGGAACCTCACTTGATGCTGTAGCAACTCATTCACTACGTGGTGTCGTAGCATCATGGGGACACCACATGGTCTGGTTACTGGACCTCACTCACTCAAGTGAGTGAGGTGTGGTCCCAGGCCTCCTTATCGTGGACGAATTAACACATAGTTGGTGCTGTTGAGTCTCAGGGGCAGTTATCCCTGGGACCTCACTGTGTGAAGGTTAGCTTGGGTACGACTCAGCTGTTACTGTTGAGTTGTTTTTCACTGACGTAAGCACTGTTCACCACTGTTCACCACTATTCAACACTGGTTCCATTCCTTTCCTAAATGAAATAGTAACTTCTGGCAAGAACTTGTTGATATTCCGGTGGGGAGGAGGGGTTCAGGGAGGAGTAGTATAGGCCATCATAACAGTTGACCTGGCTGCTGTCAGAGCAGCGCCAGGTACGTCTTGACCCTTCTGTGTGTGTGTGTGTGTGTGTGTGTGTGTGTGTGTGGTGAATCTTTATACGCAACTCAGAAACTACCTGCAGGCATAGATTTGCTCACCACTCTCCTCTACCACACCACCCACCACCACCTCCTCCTTACCACACCACCACCACCACTTTTCTCCTATTCCACAGAACCACCACCACCCTTCTCCCTCACCACACCACCACCACGCCTCCCTTTACCATACCACCACCACCACCCCTCCCCTACCACACCACCACCACCACTACCCCTCTCCTCTACCACACCACCAGCACCCTCTCCTCTACTACACCACCACCACCACCATCCCTCTCTCCTCTACCACACCACCACCACCCCTCTCCCTCTATCACACCACCACCACCCTTCTCTTCCACACCACCACCACCCTTCCTATACCACACAACCACCACCACCCCTATCCTCTACCACACCACCAGCACCCTCCTCTACTACACCACCACCACCATCCCTCTCCCTCTACCACACCACCACACCCTCCCACACCACCCACCACCCCTCCTCTTCCACACCACCACCACCCTTCTCCTATACCACACCACCACCACCCTTCTCCTATACCACACAACCACCACCACCCCTCCCTACCACACCACTACTACCACAGTCACAAGCTACCCCTGTTCTCACACCCCTGGGGCCTCTGCCTCTTCCCTTACCAACCTTCACCCAACCGAGGTCTGGTCCGGAGCAGACATCAGACATACCTCCAGGCAGCAGCAGCAGCAGCAGCAGCAGATGCAACATACCTCTAAACATATACACTATGTATATATGTTTGTACAGTTTCTAACAAGCCGTAAAACATAAAACACAGCCAGAACTGACTGTACCGCTGTAAACTCTCCTACAGGTGTATATGCTCCCCGATGCTCCTTATAGTGTATTTATAATAATACAGGTACTATTATGCTGCCTCGTTGTGGCGACCGCTGGTGTAATGGTCAGCATGTTCGCCTCGCATGAGCGGACCCGGGTTCGATCCCCGGCACGAAACTATGGGCAAGTTTCTTTACGCCATTTGCCTCTGTCTACCCAGCAGTAATTGGGGACCTGCATGTTAATCGATTTGCGGATCGTGTTCCGGGGTAATGGTTAGTCAGTACAGTTGGCGAGTTGTCCGGTCTACTCGGACTATTCCTTGACACTGGGTCATTCTGCTCCTTAACTCAGGGTGTGGTTGTTGTGTTGGTGACAGCTTCTACACCTTAAACAAATTCACGCCTAGGTGGCCCTAGGGCCGGCCATCCGCGTTACCCTCAATACTGTGCAGTGCCCATCAATACTCCTCAAACTCCTCAATTTGTCTTAATGCTTGTCAATGGCTTTGAATTCTTACCAATGCTCCCAACGTGTTTTTTTTACGGATTAGCCCACTAGAGCACAGGTCAATGACCCACATCAGGGCCTGGGGGCGAAATTATAATAATATAATAATAATAATAATAAAATAAATAATAATAATAATAATAATAATAATAATAATAATAATAATAAATAAATTATAATAATTATAATAATAATAATAATAATAATATAAATAATATATAATAATAATAATAATAATAATAATAATAATAATAATAAAAAGTAATAATAATATATAAATAATAATAATAATAATAATAATAATTATCATTACAATAATAAAGGATCATAAAAAAAAGATCAAGAGTGAGAAACACTATATGTCTGTCGTGTTGTCAATTGTAAGAGAAACAATTGAGACCCTGCAACTGTGTGTAAATGAGGCAGAAAGTCAGATCAGCAACCTGGGACTTTGTCAAAATTTTTAGGATGCCATATGGCAGCAGGGTCTACCGTTAAACAACACATTATGCTTCCAATATCTTCCCAGGCGGTAGTACCTCCCTGTTTGATAGCTGCCTGCTACCTACTGCCTACTGCCTACTACCTACTACCTACTGCCTACTACCTACTACCTACTGCCTACTGCCTACTACCTACTACCTACTGCCTACTACCTACTGCCGGCTACATACTACCTACTGCCTACTACCTACTACAATGTAGTAGGTAGTAGGCAGTAGGTAGTAGGCAATAGGTAGTAGGTAGTAGGTAGTAGGCAGTAGGCAGTATTACTACATACTACCTACAACATACTACCTACTACCTATTGCCTACTACCTACTGCCTACTACCTACTGCCTACTACCTACTGCCTACTACCTACTGCCTACTGCATCACAGTACTCCTTAATGTCCCTCAGTTCTCCCCAATGCCTCTCTTTGCCCTTCAATTCTACTCAGAAATGTTACCCAATGCTCTTCAATGCTACTCAGTAATCTACAGTGTCCTTCAGTGGGTTCTTATGCTCCCAAGCCTCCTGTATGCTACTCAATGCTCTTACATGCTACCCGATGCTCTTAGATGCTGCTCGATGCTCTTACATGCTGCTCAATGCTCTTACCTCCTGCTCACTTCTCTTATACGATACCCAATGCACCTATATGCTACTCAATGCTCTTACATGCTACTTAATGCTCTTACATGATACACAATGCCCTTCAGTGTTCCTCAGAAGCTCCCAATGCTCCTCAATGCTCCTACATGCTACTCAATGCTCTTCAGCGCTCCTCAGTGCTTCTCTCTGGGAATAATGGTGTTTCCTTCTATTATGCATACATGAATATATGAGAGTCCGAATAGCATTTCCCCGACGGCTAGATATGCAAAATTGCCAAGGGGTTTTCTGTGGTCTGCGGAAATATGATTACATCTGTGCGTTGTGACTTGTAACGTGTGTGTGTGTGTGTGTGTGTGTGTGTGTGTGTGTGTGTGTGTGTGTGTGTGTGTGTGTGTTAGGTAGGGACCGTGTATAATAGTTATCTGACTGTGTGTATCAGAGTCATTACTGTGATCTCGTCATTAGTTAGGGAGAAATATAATGTTTGAATTATCATCAGAGAGACAGACAACAAGACTAAGTGAGAGAGGCTGGAAATAGAGATAGATAAAGAGAAAAGACAGGAGATTGAGAGAAGAAAAACAGAAAGGCAGATAGAAACGGGAGATACAGTGAATGATACAGAATGAGAGAGAGGAAGACAAAAATAAAAAGAGACAAGAAAAGAGAGAGAAATTGAGAGAAATTATGTCGGAATTGTAATCTTGAAATTCGTCAGTATACATGAATATGCATATTTGTGTGTGTGTGCATACATGTATATCTTGAGTTCTGATTAATTCCGATGTCTGTGAAACGCGTGAGAAACTTGGAGTGCACACAGTGAGGGACCTTCGTGCCGGTCACTGTTTACCTCTATTCCACACGTGATTCATAGGCAGGAAAGTTACCGTCTCCGTCCCTCCTTTCCTCCTCACCCCCTCTTCACCCCCTCCTTCCCTCCCTCCCTCCTTCCCTCCATCCTCACCCCACACTATCCCTCCCTCCCTCCTCCCTCCCTCCATCCCTCCTTACACCCCCAAGTTCAAGCTGCCCCCTTCCTTCCACACTTCCAGTTCATGTCGTTCACCTGCCTTCCTCCCCATCCCTAATTCACGCCTTGTCCTTCTCTCTGTAATCCCTATTCCCAGTTCTTGTCTCCTCATTCCCTCCCTAATCCCGATACTTGTCTCCCCCTTCTCTCCCTAATCCCAGTTCATGTCGCTCCCCCATCCCTCGCTAATCCCACTATTTGTCATCCTTTTCCTTCCCCATTCCCAGTTCTCGTCCTCCCCTCCCCCATCCCCCTCTACCTCTGTATGCCCTCTACCCCGCTACCCCGATGCCTCTACCCCTGCTGCCCCTCTACCCCTGCTATGCCCCTCACCCCTGTATGCCCCTCTACCCCTGTGTATGCCCCCCTACCCCGTATGCCCCTCACCCCTGTATGCCCTCTACCCCTGCATGCCCTCTACCCCTGTATGCCCCTCTACCTCTGTATGCCCCTCTACCCCCATGCACCCCTGATGCCCCTACCCCCTGTATGCCCTCTACCCCTGTATGCCCCTCTACCCCGTGCATGCCCTCTACCCCTGTATGCCCCTCTACCCCTGTATGTCCCTCTACCACTGCCTCATTCTACACAGTATTGTTCTGATGCTTACATGTACTGTGTATAAACTGTCCCTAAACCTTCAATTTGCAGAGAATACAAACATGTGTATGATGAGAATGTGTAGCATGTACAGTATAAAGAGGAAGCAAAGTTGGACTTTTTGGAAGCATGAACGAAAAAGATTAATTGCCAATAAAAGAATAAAACTCGGTGATGAAACGTATAGAGGTATAGGAAATATAATTTAGGGAGAACGTGTTTGTAAAATCTTTGTTTCTGGTTACGAGCTTAAGTATAAAAGGGTCCGTTTTAGTTTATTGTATATTGGCCAGCCAGTGAGAATTTCAAAATAAAAATAAAAAAATTGCCAAAGTTCTAAAGTATCATGAATGCACAAGAAATAATGAATGATTTTGTGAAGGTTCGTCATACATTCAGTGATTCTGCCAAATGAATGATTCGGTATGATCTTTCATATGTGATATCAAGTCATTTCTTCTTCCGTAACACGCCCAGGTAACAAACGAGAGACAAGGCATTATCACTTACTGTCTGTACAATGAGAAGCAAAACTCTATGTGGTGTTGTGTGAGTGTCGAGTCGAGTGATATTGCTTTGTTGACGTGAAATCATTTTACATTGTTGCAAGTTGCTCTTATTATTACTTTACCTTTCTCAGTGATTAACGGTACGTAGTCTGTTAATTACCACTAGAATACATAAAGACACAAACATACATGAAGAAGGAGGAGTTTATTATATTTCTTATTGTCCTTATTGTTAAACATGTAGATCAAGTCAAGTATCACCAGCCCGAGCAGCAAGAGGCGTCCCCAGGCAACTCAACACCAGACTTTGTTATTATTCCGGACAGTTGTGTGTCAGATTGATTGACTTGTTGTTACTAGTTTTATGATCGCCCTCGTCCACTCCTTTGTTTACTGCGTTTTTGTATTCTTTTCTTTTTATCCCTCGGCCCAATTGTTAGACCAAGGGGTATTGTTGTCACGTTATATTGTTTGTTTGTTGGAGTGTTTGTGAAGCAGAACTCAATATTGTCTACTCAAACACTCTTACTATATTGGGTGTGTTTATGTTGTTTTAAGGTTCCCGCCTCTAAGGTCAAGGTCACTGCTGTTTACAAACTGGTCGAGTGAGTCTTATATATATTCCACACTGTGTACACGGACAACATCCTCAACCCGAGCCACGTGGGTGCTTAAGCTCACAGGTCGAGCTCCGGGATCAGAGAAGGTGTGGGTAGTATTCACGCCTGCAGTGTGTGTGTGTGTGTGTGTGTGTGTGTGTGTGTGTGTGTGTTAAGGGCCGTTTTGCCTTATTGTTTGTACACAACATCACATACGACGAATGCGAGTGTCAATTGCAGGCTTGGGCATACTCATCACACATGCTACTACTACCCCTCTACCACACATCACCACTACCCCTTCACCACACACGCTACCACTCACCACTACCCCCTCACCCCACACGTCACCACTACCCCACCACACACTCACCACTACCCCTTCACCACACACGCCACCACTCCACCACTACCCTCACCACACACGTCACCACCACTCACCCCCACCACACATCACCACTACCCCTCCACCACACACGCTACCACTCACCACTACCCGTTCACCACACACGTCACCACCACCCTCCACCACACACATCACCACTACCCCTTCCACCACACACGCTACCACTCACCA